TTCACACTTCGTCCATCCAGCACTCGACACCTGCTCCCACGTGTTTGTGCGAAAAGAAGGTCATAGAACTTCTCTGACCTCCCCTTACGATGGACCCTTCCCAGTTACCGTGCGGACACCCAAGCACTTCACGATCCTAGTCAACGGAAAAACAACAAAGGTCAACATCGATCGATTGAAACCAGCATTTCTGGACAGCGAGAACGCCAGCACATCGTCAAACTCGTCCAGGACAACACGTCCAGACTCCCCGGAGCGACCAAGGATAAACACTCCTAATAACTCCGTGCCTACCAACACGACGACGACGACACGTTCTGGAAGAAGAGTCAGGTTCAACCTCCGGTACCTTTAACTTCGTACCTACGGCACTGGGGGGGAGTACTGTGGCGACAGCTTTGGCGATAAACCCCAAAGTCGCCACAAGGGGGAACCCCTGACCTGACCTATGACATCACACACATTCTTGTTGGATTTTGACCTCTCCAGACGTGTGTAGTAACACCTCGTGTATTAACCTGTACAGTCGCGCCATAATTCATATATAGAATAAATGATAATCTTTTATTGTATGTGGCCCTGTTTGTAATGAGTAATTTCACACGAACTGGTGACCACAGAGGGGTTCCCAGGAAACGAGGGTAAAGGCATGGGATGAACTGGAGACTGTTACAAACGCTGGAATATTATTGTCCTTTTTATTAGGCCTATTATTTATAAAATTTTAGGGATTTTGAACGAAATTTACACGAGAATTTTTAGAAGGGCAATAGTAGGATCCAGACAAGATGACGGAGTTAGCGGTGAACGACAATATGATTGGCCGTTGAACCTAAGGATAATAGGACGACGGATGTGGAACATCTGAAGGGTGCTGATCTGAAAATCGAACTAAGAAGATTGAAAACAACAAGTAGCCGCTTCTTAAACATATACTTTTTTAAAAATATATATCTTTTATTTTAAATAAAAATCCAATGGTATTAAATTATAATAAAAAGGTTTATTTAGGAAAAAAACATGTAATATAAAATTAACAATCAAGTAGTACAAAGAGTGTAAATGAAAATGTACAGTACCAGTACGAAGTTAAAAACTGTTAATTGGAGGCATTTTTGATGCTATTACAAAAATGAGTTATTGCACAATCAAAGTTTTTATCCTGTAAAAACCAAACATAAGTAACATCCACCACACTGAAATCACAAAAAAGTTTTTTCTTTATTTTTAGTTCTGCAAACTATTTTATTAACTCTTTTAAGTTTACTTAATCGGCAATTTCGAGCTCAATTCAAAAGTTCTTGCCTTTTAAGATTTGGCAAAATATTTTACTGTTGAATACGCTGCTAAGAGTTTGCGGTCGTACCGGTACGTACAATATTTTACCTGTGGTTTGGTTCAGAGAAGAAGCCCAGAGGTTCAAAAAAGGAATTATATTTTTGTTGAAGAACTGCTTCTGTTGCGAAGTCTTACTCATCCACGATCATTATCATTAGAAGAACCGAAGAATCATAAGCGAAAAGAGTATTTCACGTGATCCTAAAGACATTTATAAAGACACCGACAACGCAACACATCTGGAAGAATAGGTAACTCGCAATCTGTTCCTAGAAATAAGAATCGGTCAATATAAATTGAAATGTGTCTTGTGTAAATTGAAGTTTGATGACGAAGTTTCTCTGCAAGAATACACGAAAAAATATTGTTAACAAACAGTTTCTTTAATGTTGAAAGTATTTAAATAGTACTTCATTTACGATTATCTTTGTTGAGTTCTTTTGATTTTGCTCTGTTGCACAAATTAAAAGAATCTAAACATGATTTTCTCATTTTGATTTTGTTGATTTTAATTAAATGATTGAAATTGATTTCATATAAAATCATTTATTTTTTATTTTTAAAATATTACGTACATAAATTAATTTAGAAACAAAACCTTGGTTGGAATAACTTTAAATAGAACGTCTACAGTAATTAAAAACAATAAAACCAAAACTCGTTTGCTACTTGAAGAGAGTATAACGCCAAAATGCGTAAAATATGATTTTAAAAATACTTTTTATTAGGCCTATACATTTGAAAACAAGAGGAACAATATGAATGTGACAGAGAAAATATCTGAAATTAGCCAAAAGTCACTTCAGAAAACAGAAAACAGTTTTCATAAACTATAAATATATCTCTATGTTCCCAACTATTCATGTGTTTAAATCATGCGCATTTAATTACTCTTGGACAACAATAAAATTCTATAACATTATTTCAGTGCATTGTTGTTTTATATTCAATTGAAAAACTAAATTTAGAGTATTTATTATTTAAACTATATTAATTAAAATCTGAAATGGTAAGTAAAACGTTTATTTTGTGAAACAATTTTAATTTGGCAATGATTTTCAAAAATTACCAACAGAACATTTTCAATCTTAATCACATATCGTGTCTAGAATACATATTATAGATTTTATCATATTTTAATATCTGATAATTTTTTATATCTTAACATCTGATACTTTTATACTTTAATATCTGATAAATTATTTATAATGATTATATCATTATAAATAATTTAGATTTAAATTTTTACTAATTACTTATTTTTACTTAATGGAAATTTTTAAAAGGAAAGAAAACATCAATGCCCGAATTGCGGTAAAACGTTTTCGACAAAACATAATTTAAGTTCACACATGGTGACTCATACGGATGAGTCATATACAGTGGAACCCCGGTTAACGAACGTCCTGGTTAACGACCAAATCGGTTAACGAACTTTTAATTTGCAAAAATTTTGTCTCGGATAACGAACAAAATTCGGATAACGAACGTAACGGTATTTTGTTTCAAATTTTAGTTGGTGTTAGGCATGCGCGAGTTAAGCATTGCTTTTCCGAGTGTTTGTACTATACTTCTTTTTTCAGTTTTGTGATTTATATATTTAATCAGTATGGCATCAAAGAAAGAAAAAAGTCATAGTGGCAATAGAAAAAGACAATGCGCTTGAGACAATAGACAAAGAACAAGACTTGAGACAAAGAAACAATTTTAAACATATATTATTAGTATATAACTATAATTATATGATTAATGTTAATCTGAGCTTATTATGTGAAATCAATTCCGAGTAAGAAAGAATTAATTGAATTTATTTTGGCAGTAGAAAAATATAACCAGCGAGAAGTAGCCGAAATTACAACAGGCTGCATCTTGACTACCGTGTGATTGTTAGAGTCTGGATGTAATCTGTTATACTCTTTCGAAATTTCACGTTTATTGCGTGTCTCCGTCGTCA